CACAACCAAATGTCAACAATTACCAACAACAATTTCGACCAGGCCGCCAAAGCTGCCTTTTCCCTTGAAGGTGGCCAAGGAGACTGGTGCTGATCAACGAAAGACATCCTAAGCTTTCACGGATCTCAATTCAGGACCACCCTTCACCTAAGTGTTGATCCTTAGACTAGAACTTAGCCAGTTTGTCAACCATGGGGCGAGGCAGCCAGCGGGATGCCAGGATCTGTAACGCTACTGCGTCTCTATTTCATGTCTACGATCAATCCATCATTTTGAGAGCATCGTATCCCCCCATGTGCTAGGAAAGCGCCCAGATTGCCTTGCAACCCCCCGCTGGCCAGGTGTATTGCAACTTCAAGACATAGACTGTTTGCTCTTTTAGCGGCAAAAGCGCCATCGAATCTCTCCCAAAGATAAGTCATCTTTACGCCTCTAGGGATCACCAGGCAGGGTCACTTGGATCTCCCCTTCGGAGATCTATACGAAGTTTGAGACGCTTTGATCTATAACTACGATGGTAATAACCTCTATTCTACTAGGGGCATCCTTGCGTCCTGTGAGTACACCTGACGTGACAAGCCGTTCTGCCACTGAATACGTCCTTCATGGTGAAATTAACTTGAGATCTCATCGGTAGGGAGGGTCTCGCTGGCCTGAAGTCAATGTACTTTTAAGGTGGCGTTAGCCAGTCAATACTAAACTTGCCAATGAGAGACGCGAAATTTGTAGCTCTCGGAAACGTCCACTAACTCTCTCGCGCGTTTCTCGTCTCGCAACGTTTCCCTGGTCTGTGTAATCGTCGAGGTCTGCCTCCTTGGTTTTGCGCTCATGATGAACCCGAGGGCTCTTTTCTTCACGGCCTCCGAGATCTGTCCCCTCTTTCGGTTCCGGTTCTGCTCATCAGACGGGCTTCAGCGCTCTATGAAGACTCCCTTATGATGGTAGGTGTAATGGCTCGAGGAAACGGATGAGAGTCGGGGAATAGATCGTAGCGTTAATTTCGTTTGGGATATTTTCTCAATGGTATCAGCTGCATGTCACTGGAGGATAGAGTCCACGTGAAAGCCGGTCTAAATGGCGCTCGAGTAGGCCGTTGGCCGTGGTGACGTCCAAGACTTGGTTCCAGATACTAGGCTGACCTCGACGTCCAACGCTTCTTCCCCGCACACCACACCGATAGGACAGACCACTCTTTCCTCTTATGTAGGGAGTTTATCTTGAAGATTTCTAGTCGCAAGAGTCGTGCATCGGTCGCCTCTGTGTGATGCAGTCTGAATTAAGACGGGAGACCCTCGGAAAATTCTTGCACTGGTAGCCACGGCTCACTTCTGCGTGCCGACAACAATGCACACAGCTATAATTTGACGGGCACATTCAATTATGATTATTTTCAAGAGCGAGTGAACCGGCCGTTGCCGTGGTTATGGCGTCAGGAGATTCATCTCAGTTCAGCTGATCTGGGGGGACGACTGGAGATCATCGGGTCTTCTGATAGGCTCGTCCTGGCCTTCCATCACCAAGGGCCCCGACCTCTGCAGAGCTCACCAGGTCTCGATCACGCCTGTGTTCTGGTAGTCGTTTTGCAGTGTCCTGTTCTTTTGCTGTATTCAGCATCAATAGCTCTCCCATCCTGACCCGCCATTCCAGCACCTGCTTCGTCCTCGCCTCTTCCGCCGCCTTCGGAACTGTCCTCGAGCTCCCTTTACTCATTAATATCATATTACGGCGGGAGATCGAGAAGAAGCCCTGCACGGTTCGTAGGCAGAATATTCCCCTGCCCAACCCCGCTCCAGCACCGTTGTCATCTCCCCTGCTTCCCCGAACACCCCATCCACAAGTATAATTAGAGAATAAGTTTTTGAATTTTGGTCGATCATTCACGTTTCGTCTTCTACCTGCTTGGAACTCCCCACTATCACACTCACCATCCACCTCACTCATCATGGCCACCATGTGCGACGAGCTACCGAGACAGGTCCAATCATTGATATCTACGTCCGGCCTTTCATGTCCACTCTCCGTTGCATCCGTGGGCGATGCTGGGGTGTCCATAGCTCCATTATCGTTTCGGACGTCCCAATCGTTTCGTGTCATCAATTCACGGCACTGTGTCTATGAGGCTCTCGACGGGGGTGAGGTCATACTTCATCTGTTTAGATCCTTGCACCATGTATTCACGTACTTGCACTCCATCCTCCCAATCTTGACAGACGACCAGGAAACACTCGCCAACATTCGCTCAGACGGGCGAGTCTCACTTCTGTTAGAGGTCTGCGCCCCAACTGCTCAACAGATCAGAATCCAAGGAAGAGGTGAGTGAGCAGCCAACTCTCCACTAGCTCCCATTAGCCTTCGCTTCCGGAACCGGTCCTGGAGGTGCTGATGTTTCTGGTCTTTCGGTTCTTTCTTGCCTATTTCGCCGGGATCCAACCACTGTTATCTAATCTCTTGATCCATCCCCGCGGATCCCTCAACCCATCAAACACCTACCGTCTCCTCGGTGACGTGAAAAAAAAAACAACCATCGCCGTGGCATGTGTAGGACTCGTGTACGAGCGTGGATCTAATGCGTATAACGCAATCGCTCCAATATCGTCAAACTGGTGTCCTCCTGCGTTTGTCTCCATCTCAGTGCAGCGTGTCTGGATCGTGAGTTGATTCAGCGAACTCTTCAAACCCCGCTGGCTCGGGTATCTAACTGTGAACCTTATTCTTAATGTAGTCAAATGCCGGACCTTTGATCACCACATTATCGCAGCAGAGTGTACCCCCGTCACCATCGGCATCCTCGTCCCAGACTCGCTCGCGCCGGGAATCCGTGGACGTCAGAGCTAGCACCACTCGTAGATCCAACTCCAACCTATACCAGGTCGAGAGTTTCGGATGGCCTACCGGAGGTGACGCATGTTGCGTGACGTGAAAAAATTGTGAAGGGGAAGAGTGGATGAACCGCCTTACCCACATTTACAAAGTAACCCTCTCAGGGCCTCATCCATCACACCTTTCACTTCGTTCTTTTTATCCAAGCGGAAGGTGTTGTATTACGTCCCTACTCTGTATTCCACCTCGTGATGTATCGTCATTTTGCACGTTCCCGATTAACAGTTTGATGTCCAATGATCATTCAAGCCTGCGAGCCTTTTCCTTTTCCTTTTCCTTTTCCTTTCCTTCGGCTTCCTGCCTCATCTCCACTGCAATTTCATCAAACGCCAGCCACCCACTTGTAACTGTTCCGATCGAGCTGAGTGCTATGAGAGGTATAGACACACTCATCCATTGAGCACCTTCTTGCGTCCACCGCCATACCAGCATCGATACGGTTGTCCACAAGATGTCCCACCCTATACTCGACTTTGCAGGGTGCTCATGCAGGAACGACCAGACTGGGGGTATAGCACCCGACGAGGCCGCCGCCATTCGCGCCGTAGTAAGCAGTCGCAAAGCGCCCGAGACGCTCATTACGATTGTGAACATCTCTGCTGGGCCTACTCGCGAGGACGATTTATTCAGACGTATTGGCAGGAAAGGCAGGATGAGGAGGCCGTGCATGACGAGCAAGTTTGTAAGGTAGAGTTCGGTTTCCATCACCCATGGTGAAAGAGCGACGGTTCCTAAGGACAGCAAGACACACGCGCATACGAAGAGCGGAATAGTTCGTTCTTTGTTCCGAGGGGTTGACGCTGGAGTAGTTGGCGGTAGCATGGAAATGTGTAGGAAGAAGAGGTTGACTGCCACCGAGATGGCGACGATTTGTCCAAGAAGCATAAAGGCCCATGTATGTCGGATCTGCCTTGAACGAGCTATTGAGAAGCAGGGATTCCATGCCCCGAATCATATGAAACCAGAATGAGTATTAAGATCGTGGGCACTAGGTCATATCAGGGTTTGGGGACCAGCACTCACACTCTGTGAACAAGTACAGTGTCCAAGCTCCGGCAGTGAATATACATAGCTGCTCGCTCCACCACCAATTAACCCTTCCGGTGCAAACTATGCTCCAGGCCTGCTCGAATAGAGCCGTCTCGTAGACCCAGTCTGCCATCCGGAGACCTAGAGAGTTCAGAGGGTTGTCTGATATGGCCTTATTAAACAAGAGCTTCCGTGCTTCGTAGTCTCGAAAGCTCCACTGTAATCGGAGGGTTGTGTTTGTGTCCACAATAGGTCAGCTGAGAGTACGAGAAGGCCAGAGTGAGGCGGAAGCTCACAGCCATGAACCGAAACATGTCTAGAACGACTTGTTAGCCTATCAAGCATCTGAAAATGGCAAGTATTCGAAGACTCACAGAACCATGTATGAAGGAGCGCTGCCACCGTCAGAGCCCCGAAAATCGCCGTTGCGGGCTTCCAGGGACTTGCCTGTGATCGGAGTTTGGGCAGCCTTGCAAGCAGGAAGATAAATAGAAAACATATCGTGGTCAAATATCCAGCGAGGGGGAGCAGAGGTGCATAACGGTGGAGTGACATCGTGGAGGACATTGGGTGTGAACGAACAAAGGTTTCGGAACGCGTTCGTCGCCCTAGATCCGAGATGTTCGTTTACCACCACCCCGCCAGACCATTGATTTCCCCTTTTCACATGAACGGTATCATCAAAATGCGTGGCCCTGGGGATTTTCTGGATGCGTGTTCCGGATGTGCATATGTTGGACAGACGGTGTCAGGCTTGACACCTCATTGGCGCCAGTGGCCATCCATAAACTTGACATACCTTGAGCCCAGACGGTCATTTTATGAATGGAAAAGGGCACCTTGGGCTACTATGCATCCGTCGATGGCAGATAACCTCTCACAGACTGTGGTTGCCTACCTGAAGTGGTTGTAAAGTCTCAACATCCTTGAGCTTCATGGCAACAATCAGAGGTATCCGACTTGCCTAGTGAAACTTTGGCCACCACACTTTCAGGATACTTGTCCGATCAAAACGCAGGAGTTGTGTTAAAGAATGGCGCGTCAAGATCAACTTAAAGCCATGATGTGTAACCGGGAGATTCTGTTCATCAGTCTGCTTAGCGCAGTCGGTTAGCGCGTCAGTCTCATAGCAATATGAGTTCTTCCAGAACGTCATCTGAAGGTCATGAGTTCGATTCTCATAGCGGACACTTTTGCTGTTTTGGAGCTCAATTCTGGACGGTTTCTGAAGAGTTTAATGGTGCGGGGTGGCGAAAGTGGCCCCAAACGACCTCTGAACATTGAAAACCTACCTCCAACATGACTCATGACAGTAATAGACACCCGTGGAAGCTTTAGGCTCGCGTTTGCTGATGATTTGATCGCCCAAGAGCTCCCGGAGGAAGGTTGAGAGCATCGACAGAGCAAAGAGCCTCAAGCGTTTGCTCAAGAAACGCGTCCTCTACAGGGACCGCGTCTCTGAATGCGCTGTTAAGTGCGACCTATCTTCGAAGGGACACGGACATGAGGCATCGGCAATGGGGGGTCGACATCTACAGTCCACGGGCTAGGCCATTGACGAAGGTTACCCTCTTGCGCTAACGGTCATCAAATCACAGGCCGGTCTATCCCGTAAGCAGCAGGTAATTTCTAGCAGGTGAGGCCCACATCTCGCAATGAGGTCGTCCCTGGACCAATTTTGGTGTCGGAAGCAACCTTAACGGGCCTGCCGGTGATCGCCAATACCATGGATCTGGCCTATCTGAAATGTATTTTGACACGCAACTGAGCAACCTGAGTGTCTAAAATGAGCCTGCATTACGACACAAATCTGGACGCATGTATTATTGTTGCAATGTATTCCGGTAGTCAATCCATCCGAGAACGAAGCTGGTGGCAGTCGAACCTGGCGCCTGTTAGTTGCGAAGCCAGATGGAAAGAGGCGACAAGAGTCACAGAATACAACAGCATCCGGTCGTGATCGTTGATTGCCGTTGCTCTCAGTGTTCGCTTAGAAGAGCCCAGGATGCCAAACTGGTGTTGATGTGCCTTCTCAGTCAATACAAAGATCGAAGTCTATGGATGGCCTCCCTTGCCACGAGACATGTCGCTGAGTGGAATCTGGGCTGCCAGGTAAATCATTGAAGTTGCAACCTGAACTTGAGATACTAGCCACGTCGTGCCGTTGCGTTGATAAAGCGATGGGCGGGGACTGAGGGGAAAATCTAAGTAATGTTAGCTCCGGGGTAACAAACAGGATATCTTCCATGTCGTGAGTTACCGGCTGCAATAAGGCGGTGTTACCATTACTACTGCAGAGTGTCGTGGGTCTGAAAGCCGTTTCCGATGGAGGACCACGCTGGTAGGAAAGCAAAGATATTTGAACTCGACCATACATATACATAATAAGGCCTATGAGCCCTACAGAAAGTGAAAGATACAGAGGACCGTCACACCCCGCTAATCACTACCAGCATACTCATCATCCTCGCTGTCGTCTTTCACACGAGCCTTGCGGGCAGCGGACCTACGAACAGGAAGGTCCTCATCGTCGCTCACTGGCATGGACGGCGGGACAGATGCGGAACCACCTCCACCTCCACGCGAACCACTGACACGTGAGCCGCCGCCACCGCTGCCAGAGGCACTTCCCATCAAACCCATCTTGGTCGCCTCGCTGCGAAAAGTCGCCTCAAACACCTCCTGCATTTCGTTGGCGTCAATGTACACCCAAGACCCCTCCTGATTGTACTTTCGCGCATTGTCGAAAAGCGTGCGCCACTCTTGGGCATACTGCTCTATCGATTTGTAGTAGTTGTTGGACATCGCACGCTTGCGGATAGTTGAGATGGCGATCGGGTTGCTGATGAGCTCATAGTAGTCCGCATAATCCTAAAGACAGCATGAGTATCCTCATCACATAGCACAGTTTAATCTACCCTGCTGACCATCCTGCTGGGGAGCTCCTTGAACAATTCACAACGCTTTCGGCCGGTGTCGTCGGTCAAATTGGTGATCACCCTGTTGATTTCGGTGAACAGCTTCTTCATCTTTTGACGCGATTCAGGTGTCAGTCCTCCCGTCGTAGGCGTTGACGTGCCTCCCGTCTTGCGGCGCTTCTATGTCACGATGAAGAATTAATGACCAGATCCGAATGAATAGGTGAATGAATAGATGGATGAGTAGATGTATGAAAACACACCAAAGACGGTTTTTCGTCCTCTTCGTCATCGTCTGCAATCGAAGGAGTCACCGACATCTCTTTCATACGTTTGCGTTTTGCAGCAGCCGACGGAATGGGAGAGTCCTCGTGCGATGCGCCTTTACCTGATGGTCGACCTCGGCCACGCGCTTTCTTTAGAGGGGGCTCGAGTTCGGGTTGCGGTGTGCTCTGCCCTGAAGCTTGTATCGCTGCCTTCTTCCCTGCACGACTCGTACGAGCACGATGATTCTGCTCCACGTACTCTTCGTAGTCGATTTCATCGTTCTCGATAGCCTGCAGTGGGTTGACTTGTCAATACAGGAGAAACAACCAAAAACCAAGAAGTCGACAAGGTGAACATACCGCGGAAAACTGCTCGTCAGTTAGACCGTCGTTGTACCGTACGTCCTTGCGAACGCGGGCGCCTCGCCCCTCCGTCACATCCAGGTCTTCCCTGATTGGGAACGGATTGTCTTGACGGTAGATGGCTGGGATCTCATTCATCTGCAACATACGGTCCGGCTTGGGTCCAAGTCCTCCGGCATTAGTCCACGCCAACCGTTCTTGCGACTCGCGGTTGATATCCATCTCTTTGAAGCGTATTTGCTCTTCATCTGTTCTGGCAAGAAGCTCGTTCAGCTCTTCGTCTGTCATGTCGCCGGTAGCATCTTGGCTCTCGTCATCTTGGTCCTCAATGAGCTGGCGCTAAATAACGGAGGTAACAGAGAGGGTCAGAGTCCAACCTGAAGCGAGGACTGTAGTCGCAAAGCGACTGACCAGATACTGGTCTCGCTCCTCTGCAGTAGATTTGTTGTCGAACCGACCAGCCTGGATAACCTTTTCGTCCATGTCGAGCTTGGTCCTTGCTCGTGTCAAAATGGCCTCTTCCACGCTCTTCTCGGTAACGAATCGGAAGATACGGACTGCCTTTTTTTGACCGATACGATGTGCGCGATCTTGGGCTTGCAAGTCAGCATGGGGATTCCTAATTATTGGAAGGGATGTCAACATCAGAGCTAGGTCTATTTTGTCCGATTGAGGTCACTCACCAATCAGAGTCGTAACTAACGAGGAAAATGATGAGTCAGTACGCAGAAACAGCAGTTAGATCACATCCATGTAGGCTCACATGATGACCGTATCAGCGGTCTGCAGGTTTAACCCAAGACCTCCAGCACGTGTTGAAAGCATGAATACGTTGATCTCAGAGTCAGGAGCGTTGAACTGTTTCAAAAGCTCCCCGCGGTCTTCTGTCTTGGTACCGCCATCCAGACGAAGGCACTTTACCCCCTTGAGACGCATGTAATCTTCCAGGATGTCCATCACGTTCGTCATTTGGAAGAAGATTAAGACCTAAATCCTCTGTCAGAAGCTATCAATCCCACAATTTACAGCGCAATAACTTACCCGATGGCCGGTCGCAAAGAGTTTCGGAAGCATGCGGTCGAGTAGGGCTACCTTTCCAGAGGAGCGAATGAGCGGATCGTTGTAGGCCCTCGTCAAGTCGATCTCGGGGCGAGAAGGCATCAAGTTCATCGCATCCTCGACTTCGCGGAAGACGTAAGGGTGTTGACAGATCTTGCGAAGCTGCATCACCATGTTCTGAAGTCCTTTGACGGGTGCGGGTTTCCTAATGGAAGATAGAAGTGAGATGGCGTATGGTTTCCAGCGTATTGCGCCCACTTGCTCACCCATTGACGTCTGGCCGATTGTTAGGGAACATCTTGTGCTCCTTCATGTATCGGTACAGCTGGCTCTGCAGCGTACTCATCTTACACTTGATGACCTTTTCTACTTTATCCGGTAGCTCGCTCTCCACATCCTTCTTCAAGCGCCGCAGCAAGAATGGACGGAGCACCTTGTGCAGACGACGAATGACGAGAAGGGACTCTTCCTCGTTGAGCTGGATATTGTCCTGGGCCCCAGAGTTAGCGAACGGTGTGTTGAACCATTCATCGAACGACTTGACGGAATTGAAGATCTTGGGGAGGACGAAGTTGAGCAAGGCCCACAGTTCGGGCAGGTTGTTCTATCAAGAAGACGAAAACATTCAGCGGACTGTCGTCAACGAAGGCCCCCTGATCAATGGAATGATACAGCATCCACTCACTTGGAGCGGCGTTCCCGTCAAAATCAACCGATAACGCGTCGAATAGTACTGAGTCAACGTCTGAGCTAGTTTACTCTGCGTGTTCTTCATACGATGACCCTCATCTATGAATCAAGATCAGGGACACCTCGGTTAGCGAGTAGCTGGGTCCCTTGAGAGCGAAGTAGACGCCAACCAATGATCATGTGTACCCATTTGAATTTACTCAAAAATGGTCGATCTTTGATGATGTACTCGAATGTCGTCAGCATGACCTTGAATGATCCTGCCCTGAGATTCGCTTGGATCCCCTTTCTGGCATTGGGTGAGCCTTTGTAGACAACCGTCGATACGCCCGGCGCCCACTTCTCGAACTCGAGCGTCCAGTTGGGTAATGTCGAGAGTGGTACGATGACAAGGAAGGGGCCCGGCTCGTGCTTCTTTTCAATCAGGAAAGTGACTAAAGAGATCGTCTGAATGGTCTTGCCAAGACCCTACACCCAGATAGAATATTAAGTTAGAAAGAGGTGGAAGGCTGCACAACGTGGACGCACGCACCATTTCATCTGCAAGAATTCCGTTCAATCGGTTGTTATATAGAGACACCATCCACTGCAACCCTTTGATCTGATACTCTTTGAGCGTCCCACCAACCAGTAGCGTGGGTTGTTGGGTGATCTTCTCTGAGATCCGATGCGCGATGCTGTAGTAGTCGGCCTTCTTGGAGCTGCCATCGGCCGGATTTGTCACGGCATCCTCGTCCTCCATTCTGGTTGCGCCGAATGTAGCTTCATCCGTCTTCTCCATCGGACCTGACCGAGCGGTGGCCTGCTGCATATCTGCCCCTTGCTGCGCCTGCACGGCTTGAGCGAGGGAGTCGAGGTACGTATCCGTCTGCTTCAGAAGATGGGTAATACGTG